AGAAATCACATGCCTGAAGTGGAAACAAAAATGGGAAATTTCTTTGTACTGCTTATCACATTGTTACATTTTAAAAGTGAATAAGTCACTCCTGCGGGGTGCAGGAGTCGTGGATGCGCACTGCTGAGGAGTCCCATACCAGGACGAAACGGCCGTCCAGTGCTTCCAGGTTTCTAACGGTGGTCTAACATTGATCGATTCATGGTTTCAAAAATGTATAAATTAATATGTCAATGTTTTGAAATAGAGACAAGGGGATCATAGTTATTTGTACCAGATTTTTATTTTTCATTAATTATTTAAAAGTTTCTTTGGCATACTACGAAAAATAAGTGGAAAATCGATTTTATGAGGTTGGAATCTGATGTACGAATAGGTCAAGAAAAAGGCTAAAAGTGAACAAACCAAGATAAGAAATTTTTGTTCAACTGATCTGAACCATGTGTCAGTTGTAGGGGCAGACCACTTCATTACGGTTTGCATGGTTATTGTAATAAATGGTGGGAGAATCGATTACAATGGCACAGATACACCCACTCGCTTTATTATTATTCACTAGATTACACATACCTTTCGATTCCTTCTTTCCATACCATATTCTCTCCTAATGTTCAATCTTTTATTTATCAAAGTATGAAATTATTATTAATACCACCTCATTATCAGGTACAAACTCGTGTTGTACTTGACTTTCAAAACTGCACTTCTAATGTCCAGGCTATCGAAACCGAAAATTAGGTTGAGTGACATTCGAGCCTCAGATTGAATGACTAAAAGTTGAACATTTTACCTATTGATACCCCATGATAATAACCAAGAAAGTTCAATAATATATCACAGACAATGAACATAGCAAACCTTATTACTCACTTTAACCATTAAAAGAAAACAACTGGCTGCAGTAATCAATTCATTAGATAAACCAATCAAATTCATAGATTCCATTTTTGTTTCCAATGAATTTGCATTTGACGACAAACCAGCAGCATAACACAGACAAATTTTAACTCGTCTAATTAAATCATTCAATGATACTTGTCCAGTATGAAGAGTTGATTTTGAGATTGAATGTGATGGATTATTATGACTGTTATTTCCACTAAAATGATTCACTGATGATGGATTCAAGTACTCCTTTACGAGAGAGGTAATACATTTAAATTCATTTATTATAATTTTTAAATAAATAACTGAATGAAATTATTATCATTATTGAACAAGTGGGGTTACTGCCAGTCCCAAGCCCTCATAACGGAGGAGGGTTGGGCATGGGGTTAGCGACCTTATTCTGTAGAAAACCAACTCATTAAAAAAAAACGCTAACCAGAAACGGTCAGCTCTGTTTAGGGTAACAGGCGCAAGTAAGTATCTCCAACTGATATGACATAACAGTTCATTATGGTCGTAAGTGAACACCGCTGAGGAGTCTCATACTAGAATGAAACAACTATTCAATGCTTCCTAGTTTCCAATAATTGTCTTAATAACCTCAACTTGTAATACAAACTGTATTATTCCATGTTGCTTCTAATGGTATCATGTAACTAACTGGTAAGTGAACAATGTAACATGCCCTCTAATCTATTACACGTCGGACTAAAATCTCATCAATAGATTCAAATTTATGTTGCTGGGAACTGTAAGCCTATATATAAAATTACTCATTGACTACGACATTAGAAGAAAACAGTTCAGCACCGTCAAAATCCATTGTTCACAGCCATATACAGAGGACTACATAAACCCATTCATAAGCGGTCCAATTGTTTTAAAAATTGTTAAGCTACAAAAAAGTAAACAAAACACATACATAAGAATTTCCATAACCTTACCATAAATCGACTAATAGTAATTCATGTTTGATAGAAGCCATGAATCCATTGGAAAGCATCACTGGGACCGAGATTGCTTTACCTACTCATATATGACCGGATGTTGGTGCAACATTAACAGATGGATGACGGCGCGAGGTGGTACCATAGGATTAATTGATGCTAGTATTATTTAAAGCAGCAAGTAGAAAAGCTCTAGCTCCTGGAATGGTGACAATTTCATGTACGAATGATAGAAGAACCTTTAGCTAGCATTGTATTACAAACTGTTAATCGCCCCACATAATATTCCCAGATGATGATAAACAAGAAATCAATTGGATTGGTTAACTTGACGTGAAGCATAAAAATCGAAATACAATATATATATTAGTAACCTGATTATACAAATATTGTTAGCGCATAGATTTGGCTAAATTATGTGATCCTGTATTTACCAAGAAAAATTAGTCAAATTCAGCATAGAAGAATCGGTACGTGTGTAGATTGGCTTAAGTTGTCATAACCCATAAGCAGGAAGAGATGAAATTGTTCGGGTATAGGCATCCGATATAAGATTCAATAAAATATAAATCAGTAAAATAAAATGATCATACGAAGTTCGGATTAGAATTTGGGGAAAGATAAAGAATGAATCCACTTGCGCCAATGAGAAAGATTTTGGGCCATATAACTCGAAGTTTTTAACTATTAGTTACAATAATCCACACGAACGCCAACAAGGTAGTTTATACCTAAGTACATGGCCCAACAGTTGGTGTTTTTATGGACTGATAACATTCCCCAGTTTGGTCACACCTAGATTTGTTTCAGACTACTTCTGCACCGCACAACATAGCCCGTCGAGGTAGGCGGGGTTGTTTCATGCGTAACCAACTACCTCACATAATGATGACTAACTATCCCACCAACTGATTTGTCATCTTTACCAAGTACCCCATTCCTAACCTAGTTATTATTTACTCAATGGTTTCAAAATACACGAGCAATCTGTTCCGAAAACACCTATAACAGAATACTAGTAACCTATGAGCATCCTTTATTCTCAATGATAATTTTTCATACTCATAAAGTGGGACGCAGTGGACTGCTGAGCAGTATACTGATCCTTTGCTTGATAAACAGATATCTCGTCAACGGCGCAACTAACAAAGGGTAGTGAAAGTCAAATGAACTTTCTGAATCCATCCTAAAACTTCGTCAGATGCCAGCCTATCAGGGCTTATGAGACTCTCAAGATAAATGAAGTGGCCAACACACTTAAAAATATGAGCACAACGTAACTCATTTATCAAGTAGAAATTCAAAAATCAAACTTTTAGGCATACTTATTAACGTAAGGACGGACAAATGATACTAGATAACTACCTTAAATCGAAATGCATGGAACAAGATTTGAATTTTCAAATCAATGATTCAGAATCGAACACTTTAGACCAATAAGCTACAGGCAGAACAGATAATATTTATAAATGCACAAAGTTCTATAATTGTTCGATCTCTACAAGAATATCACTTTTAAGCGGATGCAATTGTTTCATTCAAAATATTTTCAATTGCAAACCATATTCTCAAGTAGTTGAAAAAATCAAAGTTAAAAATAACCAGTGACAATCAATAATCCATTAATCCCAAAATAATGCTAACAATAATTTCAAAGATGATTTTCTGGTGAACATAATGAATTAATTACTTAACACCTATTAGCTTTCAATAAAACCAGAAGTAATCTTAATAGTTAACAACATATGGAGATTTATTTCATATATGTAGCCATGATAATATACACAATACACTGAATGTTTCAAAATAATAACTTTTGAGTTCAATCTCCAGACTTGTTAATTTTCGAAACCTGAAACCCTAAATAAAACCAGAGGAGGGTGAAACTATGGAAGAAACTTCACCTTAGAGGTTAGTTTAAGCATAGAAAATATAGACGATTTATAGGATCACAAAAGGCCTTGTAGATGATGCAATAAAAGTTAGGAATAAATTTAGTACAGAGAAGTACTTCACATCATTAGAATACCATACTTGATTAAGTAGCCTTTGAATAATAACTGGTTGGTACATTGTGTAATTAAACAGAGCGATGCAGAGATGATTTTAGAGCAGTAGAATTTCAGACATTCAAGACATCGTAGTTCAGGGCCAGATACACTGCGATAAATCCAATCACTCTCCAAATTGATACTCTAGATATTGACTTTCAAAATTATTTTATACTTTTTATTTTGTGAACCAACTCAGATTATATTCCCCATGGCTAATATCTATTATTAACAACGGCACTAACACTACCTCTACTTAGCCAGTATTCATCGATGAGTATATCATCTCGATGTGTTTATTTTAATGTAAAGACTTGACCTGGTGCACATATAGGCCAGATTTTATCTTGCTTATACATATATATATATATATATATATATATATAGACAAAATATTGTGAATGAATTCACCTATTCGAAACAATCTGGTTCACTTGTAAAAAAGAGTACATAAATGAAACAGATCAATAAACGATAACTTACAATGTTCTCATCAGTAGGATGTAGTCCGACTATTTCCAGTGAAGCTAAATAATGTAATGATGAAAGCCATGAACCATTTAATTCTAAAATTCCATTCGGTGTCATACCCGACCTTAATAGATAATCTACTGATGTATTTACATCAGTTGGATTCCGTGTGGTCAAAAGATGACGTATTACTCGGAGATCGCATGCAAGTGGGTTTTCTCTAGTAAAAGCTTGAAGTGATTGACCAGCGAAATGTCCATGTCCACCAGTTACATGGGACTGCGGAAGTGACATGTGAGGAAATGATGTTGATGGAAACTGATGCTGACCAGCTAAGCTACGCATATCCACATCACCAACGACTCGAAATGGCGATCCACCTCTAGATAACTGTGGTCTAAACGATCCAGCATTTGGATATACCTCAGAATTTGCCCAAAATCCAAGTCCAAGAAAGTTTAAATCATCCGATTCCATTGGACGTAGGTTTGAATCAAGACCAATATCTAGATTAGGCATATCGGCAAGACAGTCAGGAATAAAAGCACAGAAAAGATCGGAATTTACTTCCGTTTCAGATGAACCTCCAGAATTTACTGCTTCAAAAATAGACTGTATATATTTTCTGCAAGATTCTGGTAAGAATTCCATCTAAAATAACAAAATATATGGTTATATATGTGTATATATAAAATGATATCTGGTACAAAAGACATCTCTATATGTATGTATAGGTTATATCTTCCAAGTAACTTCGTGTGCCTGGCTTGTGATGTAGGCAATATATCCGTCTGCCGAATACAATACAAATAGACTGCAACACAATTAGCTATTTTAATTTACAGCCATCAAACATAGTTAGTTTAATGTAAAGGATACTATGAAGTTATTAAGATACGATCACACGCGTTTTCGAATTATTGTTTATCGATGGTGAGAGCGCCAAGAGATCAACGTTGAGGTTGGATAATATGTACTATGAAAAAATTGTGGTTACCCTCCTTTATGCTTAATATTTCTTAATAACACTGATACTGTTAGTAATTCTGTAATTTTAGTATTTTTATTGATAATTTCATTTTGCTGTGTTTACACGCGGCGGGGCAACTTGAACCGATGTACATTGACGCCATGTTTTATTCTGCTTAAGAAGACTAACTGTGATTTTCTTTGTAGAATCATTTCCCATATGAACGAAGTAGTAGATTATGTTTTGTTATGTTTAGAAATGATGAATTGGAATTTTAGCAATACTTTTCGGTAATAAAAGCATGAAAAACCTAAATTACAATTCAAAGATAATCTGAGAAACTGTTGGTTCAATTCCTTAAAATACTATAAGTAACAAAGGTCATGTTAAAGGTTACTGACACTGTGTTTGAATACTAAATTTGGTAGGCTAATCATTTTGACTCAAAATTGATTGTTGATATCATGATAGATGACAGTGATATATATTGAAACTATTTGGTTGTATTTAAAATCACTATCAAGTGATTTATCTTCAAATCAAAGGTAGATAGGTATTGACCAGAACCTGTTGATGTGTTTCGATATACACCATACTGTTCGTATGAGGGCTACAGATATCTATCATCCAGCTGCCCAAATAAAAGTAAGCCAATTGAATTTCAAACTTACAGTCTAACAGTTAAAAGTCACAGCATTTTATCATTTAGCTATTGTTCCGTCAATCAGTCATCCAGCTACAACGTACGTACGTACGTACACAAGTTCAGGTCACCGCATTAGCACAGAGACGCAACTCTCAACTCAAATCCCAAAGTAGTAGATATAGTAGAAGTATTAACGGTAATGGAGAAGATTACAGTTCAAGGATTTATTCAAAAAGGATAATCTAGTGAAACAAACTGAAAAAGATAAAGATGATGAGGGATTCAGGAGACTAGAATTCCAGAGAACAAAAGAGTGGATGCACGTGCGCCATTGCAAACGATTTTGAGCCATATTGTTCAAGGTCTCTCTAACCATCCGTTACTATCGTCTCAAGGATCCCAACCAGGTAGCCTACATCTATCTAGCTGTTGAGGATTGATCGAAAATATCTAGTATATATTTCACTAGGTGATAACTTTTAGCTAAGAGTATGACCAAAATAATCTTTGTTTTATTAGCCAATTAACCCACTTTGAATCGAATCAATATAACGATGGCAATGGTGAATCAAAGAATGTTGAATTGTTGTAGAACACGGCATAGTGCAAAAAAAAAATGTTCAACAATAAGATAAAGTAAGAATAAAATACAATGAAACAATAGCTTTAAAGAGAGAATTAAGATACTTCTTCTAACGAACCATTTAATCAACTTACCAATTTATGTGATACAAGAGTTTTTAACAAATCTTGATAATTCTTTTGTATTGAATTTAATTCAGAATTCAATTTAAGGATTGATTTATGCAATAAATTACCAAGCAAACAAATTCCTTCTTGCACTAAAAATGTCACATACTGGCATAGAGTAGTAAATTGAACTGAAGATGATAAGTTCGGATTTTTAGAAGTCGATGATAGTTTGTCCATTATAGAAGTTAAACAATCAAAGAGAAATTCACGTCCAACTGTTACATCAATAAATGGAGGAGAAGATGATGATGATGCGAACGATCTGTGTTCTTTTTTTGTAGGCCTTTCGAAATTCCTCTTCGGAATATTCAATAATAATTCAGTTGATAGTGAAAGTGGTAATTCTATAGATTCAGACATTAGTCGATCAATTGCGTTACATATATGTACCTGAAAAATAAAGCAATACGCCAAAATATTAAATATATACTGTTCGGGACGCTGAATCCCCAGAATTCACTTCGAAAAGGTCCTAATTTTGGATCCTTTGTTTTCGCGCATAAGCTGCTCAGCTGATCTTGAAATTACAATTCCTCCTCGGAAGATCCTTGACTGTCATTGGTTGATGCATTATTTTAGTATGCTATTTTTATAGCTCTCCCAAGGACGTTTCTATCCTGTATAAATAAGCTCGATTTGTGTGCATGTCAACCTCATATTTTCTGGATGCTTGTAGAATACACATTTTTACGCCTTATCAAGACTTCTTGATAAAGTTAGCCGGGCTGGGGACAAAGGATTAGAATATCCTATCGTGTTTCGAGCATATCATATACAAAGATTAACCAATAGAACAACAGATTTTACTATTTTTCAGAAGACTGCTTGTAAACCTTTCTCTTCAATCTAATAACGTTGGCAGTGAGGTGTTTTTCCGAAAGATAATTTATCGATATGTTAGCCACTCAGTTTTTTAACATATATTCATACTCAACATAATGAACAAGGTTCTGGTTTCGACTTCCGGCTGCGGAGTCGTAGATAAACACTGCAAGTTTTCAATACTAGTCTACCTAAGACTAGTTCCTGATTCGAACTATGAAAACATTGTGTTGTACGATTGACATTTATCGAAAGAAATACTGTATAAAAAATAGTACATGAAATCTGCTGATCAGTAGTCACTCATAATTGATGTATGGGACCTGGCATAAGTGAGTATCCATTCAAGATGGTATATTTCATATTTCCGAGGAGATTGAGAGAGAGAATCAACAAGCGATTGTTTGTTGAACAGTGGTCAACTCAAGTTTTACAGTGCTGACCAAATTCTATTGACCAAGTTGTAACATGGTCACTACTATCATACATCTCAACATAGTGCACCAAATATTGAGTCATTACGACTTGATCGACACTTAGAAGGATTTGGCACAAATTAAATTGGTCGATACTCAGTAATCGACCAATTGTAGATATAATTCAGTCCTACAGGAGATCAAGTAAGGCTCGAATAGCTAATTGATAACGCGTCTGACTGTGCAACTAGATAATAGTGTCAGATTCACCAGGGTGCACCAGTTTCATCAGGATTACAGATACACCTTGCTGATGAGTGCCAAATAGCAAGGTCTCCTGCCGACTATCTTTAAGCATTGCTTTACAGTATACGTTATCAAACAATATCGGAGGATATATAACACATACCTTAGTGAATAGTTGATGAACAGCGTTGAAACTTGATGTTTTGTCATTTGATAATGATGGCTTAGTATGCTTTGATTGTTTTGCAGGATGCATATTTCGTGTAGTATCCATTGTATCATCCAGCAAACCAATACAATCATACAATTGTTTTAAACACAAACTTTCTAATTTATTACGAACTCCTAAACTAATTGGAATATAGGATTGAGATGAATCATCAATTGAAAATTGATCCACATTCAGTAAAACTTGATAAAGATGATCTTCTATGGTAGTAGTGATTAGTTCCATATTGACTGCTGTTGTACTATCACATGTAGTATTATTCCATGGTTGAATCCAAAATGTATTGATTGAATTTTTATGATGATGAGAATCTAACGCATTTACTTCTAATAGATGACAAAATGTTTCTAAAAATTGGCTGTCAGATTGACAAACTGAAAATTCATTTGAAATACATTCTATGGATGTGTATGATTTGCATGCAGTTAAATAAGCTTGCACTAATTTAGGTGTAGCTCCTACTTCTTCTAAATAATCAAACTATAGATAAAACAGTATAAAATAATTTTTCGTTAAATGTCAGACACAACAATACAAAGAAGAATGATGATTGAGAGGAACTTGCAAATCCATTGTGTATCGATCAATTTACCTATTTGTATGGAGCAGGTTATATTGGCCACTCAGAAAGAGCATAAACGATTCCAGAACTTGATACCACTTCAAGTTGTTTCATTATTATTACTATTATTATTATTATTATTATTATTATTATTATTATTATTCCACATCATTCGATTTTACTATAGACTATGAATTTAGCAAATAAAATTAACTATAAACACGGTTGTACAACTTAAGTAAATGAAAAACATGACTCAGTCTACTTGTCAGTGACGTCATGGATTACTTCTATATTCTGGTCTGGCCGCCCATAGCTCGACAAGGCAGTTGGTGGTTAGGCACACGTAACACACATCCCAACCACCTCAGCTGATGAAGTTTTATTAGTTCATCTATTAACCTGCCATCCATACCTAGCACCCGTTTTCTAACAACAGCATTTCTTACTCAGTTGTCCCATGATACACGTGCAATGCTTCCAAGAGACCTATGGTCAAAAACAAGCAACCTACGAATATCTTCTACTCTGACTGGCCATTTCTCATAGCCATGAGATAGGACGGAGAGAACTACTGCACAGCACATTCGTCCTTCAGTTAGCAGACGGATATCTCGCCTCCGACATAAGTGATGCAAGTTTGTCAAAGCCAATCGAGCCTTCTGTGCTCGTGCTGAGATTTCGTCAGTCACCAGGCCATCAGCACAGATGGGACTCCCAAGATAAGTAAAGCGGTCAACATGCTCAACTGCTTCATTCCCTATCACTAGTTCAGGTGCCGATACAAGCCAAACTTGAAGCAACATTTCGCATTTCGACAGAGAGAATCGCATCCCGAACATGCTTGCTTTGTGGCTTAGGATAGTCAGGAGACACTGCATTTTGTCAGTGTCTTCACCAAATAGAACTATGTCATCGGCATTTTCAGAGTCAAACAATGAATCTCCTAGTTAAAGATCAAGTTTTGAAAAGTCAGATGAAGAAAGTGTCGTATCTAGCTCAGACTCAGTCAATAAGTCAAACAAACTTCTAAAACTGGACCAAGATCCTTAAAAATCTCATGGGTTAATCTAACAGGTCCTGACGCTCTCCGTTACCTTATATTGTCTATAGCTTTTTAAACCTCGTTAAGAGTTGAAGGACCTACATCAACTTGCCATAAATATCGACTGGTGATGGTGGGTAATTGAAGTGTAGTTGAAGGTCAGTCGAACTGTTTCCTGATGTATTCTGCCTATCGATTCGATCTTTTGGATTGAGAACAAATAGTAGTCCCGCCTTTTTGTGGGTCTCGCTAACAGCCGTGTTATAATGCTGCTAAGTAGTTAGTCAGTCCTACCGACGTCCGAATTCAAATATTCCAATACGACCCAAATACTATTCCTAAATCTCCTATATATCAGAACACAACACCGTTTGATGAAGTTATTTAATGGGTCGAGTACAGTAGAAATGAAGGCAGGAAGGAACGGAATCAAAAGCTTTACAGATAAGGCGTATGCATACATTTAGGTCGAATAGGAAAGAGTATCGAAGTCTGTGACATTGACAGTTAAGACGACCAATAAGAAACAACATTGGAGTAAGTGACATTGATTTATAAGACGACCATTATATTAACCAGTAGGAATTAACCAATAGGAACTAACCAATGATACTCTAAGGATATTGGATGAATATCCTTACAAGCCGGATATTTAACACCCATTTCCTAAACATGTTTGAATAGTTGTCTACTGGTACGTGCTACCGCTACTCAGCACTGTTAACTATCATTGCGTAGGTTTTTCATCAACCTGCGCTAAGGCTGCTACCACCCGTTAGCAGGTTCGGTGATCTAGGTGATCTAGCTATGCTGTTACTTCAAACCGTTACATTGATAGATTTAGTGCTATTTGCTAACATTTTCGAATACACAGACGACCTTTGAGTAAGCAATATACAGCAAGGACGAGACTTGCTACTGTATGCTTAGAGAGTGGATCAATACTAAAACGCATTATTCATCACTGTACATATCTGTGCCAACTAAATGGCTAGTAGCGAAACACTGAACGTGCATTTCGTCCTATTTGGGACTCATCGGCCGGACTCACCTGCATCTCAGAGTTGATGTTCACTCCAAGACTTGAACCCAGTACTGTTCGCTTCGAACACCATAGCGTTATCCACTTAGCTACCGAATCTAGACAGCCACTAACTTGTACAGTGGAGGGAAGTTTAATTCACTTGTATTGGCAGTTTGGATCTCCCCATTGAAACGAAACGCGTGTCCCGGATTCGACTGATAGCCACTGTCCATCTCAGCTTATAGCACTATATTACAGTACATAATGCACAAATGCAAAATGAGACTGATCAATTCCAGTCCTAACTATCAATCGGAAGATTCAGACTACCAATACAAATGAACTAAATGCTTGGTTCTTCGGAGTACCGACTTTAAGTAAAATTAAGGCAATAAGTTTCAAATTATCGAAACTCCAACATTCTCAGTCACACATTTATTCTTTTTACCAGACATGGGGATAGAATGTCTAACTATAAAACCTTTTTTCAAGTCAGACATACGATTCAATACAGAAATAGTTTGATAGACTTATTATAGACAACCATTGGCTAACGAGTCATTAAATATCATCAGAAATAGGGATATATTTGTGAACAGTAAGTAAATAATAATCTGCCTACAATCAAAAAAAATCAATTTAATCTACATCGTGAAACGTCAAGAATTTAAAACTTCTACTTATTAAGACATCACAAACATATCATTATGTTATTGTAAAAATACTAAATCTTTTTTTTACTATATCATCAAGCTAAACGTCAGTATTGATACCTATAAATAAACAGTAAACTAGGATCGAATGAAAGGTGTGGTTTTGGTTGATTTACCTAAAGCAATAAATTAGACTTGCAGAATGTGAAAAATGATATTTTCAAAAATCTCTTAAGTTCAATTTATGTAATCAAACTGATGTTGCCGTTAAATTTAAGAGAAAATGTTATTGAGATGATATTCCCAGTTGTCAGAAACTCTTAGTAGTGACCCATCCCAGTTTGTTTGAGCATGGAAATTCACCCAAGATCAAATCACTTTCCTACCCACCGGCTGCCAACATCGAACTAAACATTAACAGAAACTAAATAGTCAATGAATAATTCCTTCTGAAAAACAATGAGTTCAACAAAAACTAAATGGGAGGTAACGGGTTTGAGCAATACACTTTGAAAAATCTGGTCACATGTATATACTACCCAGAGCACTCATATATGTAAACTAAGCAAGTTTAATATAAAGTCAAATAAATAAAAAGTGATAATGAGAACATGTTAGTGAGATGAAATAATATGGAAAGCGTAAGTTTTCAAACCACACCAAGCATTGCAGTGGACTAAAGATTACCAGAACCTATTTACATTTAGAATACATCATTCCTAAACTTTGTGGTGCCTAAAGCTTTCACAAACCTAAGAATATGGATATTAAAAATTTCTACACCAACCTTCGTAAAAGGTTGTTAAGTTAATCCTATGACCTAGTTTAACCGAACGTTCTTACTACATGCAATCTTATAACTTGAATGATGAAAAGCGTAGTCAGCTTTGGCGCAGACTTATAAAAAGCCTGCGCAACTACCGTGAACAGTGGTGGGTGGCGAAAGCAAAAGCGATGGAAAAGGTAGCGGCGATAGGCAACACTAGACAACTTTTCCGCCTTATCGAAGAAACCGGTATTAGGAACCCGAATGTGAGTGAGACTATCTCGGAAAAGGATAGTCTTATTATCCATTCACAATCTAGGAGACTGGATCGATGGGCAGAACACTTTAGGGATCAGTTCAACTGGCCTCGAGCCACACTTCGGTTGCCCACGATCTCCAGTAATCCTGAATGGCAAATCGACGTAAGTCCTCCCAGTTTACATGAAGTTGAGAAAGCTATAGCAAATCTAAAGCGAAGTAGAGCAGCAGGCCCTGATATACTGACGCCTGAGATATTTAAGGATGGTGGTCCAGGTTTAACAGCTACATTGACTGAGATCTTAGGTAGAATCTGGGAACTGGACGTAATCCCACCCGACTGGTCTGAATCCCTGATTGTCCCAATCTATAAGAAAGGACAAAAGTCCTCTTGCGACAATCACAGGGGAATAAGTCTAACTAATATAGTTTCTAAATTGTTAGCCTCGATTATACTTAGACGTCTAACTAGAGCACGTGAAGAGCAGACTCGACAAAACCAGACTGGTTTTCGACCTGGACGTGGTTGTAGAGACCACAACTTCACACTACGACAGGTCCTCGAACACAGACACACATTTAGACGTCCTACAATAGTCGTGTTCCTGAACCTAAAAGCGGCATTTGACTCAGTGGATCGTGAGGTTCTGTGGCAGTGCCTGTCATTGAAAGGTGTATCAAAGAAGTACATTAACCTCATACAAGCTCTCTACTCTAACACCACTGGTCGAGTGAGAGCTTATGGCGAACTGTCACCGGAATTCTTCACTTCAAGTGGTGTTCGTCAGGGATGTCCACTCTCTCCATTCTTGTTTAATTTTATCATAGACATGCTCCTAGAAATAACCTTATCCTCATCTGAATTTTCAGGAGTAGACCTTTTACCAGGTGGCTCGCTTATTGACTTAGAATATGCCGATGACATAGTCCTATTCGGTGAAGACGCTGACAAAATGCAGAGTCTTCTGACTACCATAAGCAACAATGCGAGCATGTTCGGGATGCGGTTTTCCCCCTCGAAATGCAAAATGTTGTTTCAAGACTGGGTTTCATCGGCACCTGAACTAGTGATAGGGAGTGAAGTAGTCGAACGTGTAGACCGCCTCACTTATCTTGGGAGTCTCATCAGTGCTGATAGCCTGGTGAACGACGAAATCTCAGCGCGGATAAAGAAGGCTCGATTGGTTTTCGCCAACCTGCGTCACTTATGGCGAAGGCGAGATATCCGTTTGCTGACTAAAGGACGAGTGTACTGCGCAGTAGTTCGCTCCGTCTTACTTTATGGCTGTGAAACATGGTCAGTGAGAGTAGAAGATGTTCGTAGGTTACTGGTTTTCGATCATAGGTGTCTTCGAAGCATTGCTCGTATACCCTGGGACAACCGAGTAAGCAATGTTGTAGTTAGGAAACGGGTGCTAGGTAAGAATGGCAGATCAATTGATAAAGTGGTGAAACTTCATCAGTTGAGGTGGTTGGGACATGTATTACGTATGACTAACCACCGACTGCCTCGACGAGCTATGTTTTGTGGTGTATGAGTAGGTTGGAAGAAAGCTAGGGGCGGCCAGACCAAAACATGGCACAAATCCATGAAGTCACTAACAAGTAGACTGAGTCATGTTGGTAGATGTATGCTAACAGTTTGGGGTCCGCGAGACGAAAGTCATCAATGGTTAGAGACCTTGAACGACATGGCTCAGAATCGTTTGCAATGGCGCTTGTGCATTCGCTATTTGTGTTCTCTCAAATCCTAATCTTCTGGATTCGTAAGCACTTTCTCTACCTTTGTCTTTCCAACCTTATCTCACTGAATCATACTTCTTGAATCATATCTTCAAATCCTAACCTCTCCGATTACTCCTAATACCATTACTACCTCTTCTACTACTGGATTTGAATTGACAATTACATCTCTGTGCTGATGTGGTATGGCGACATGAACTTATGTACATACGTACGAAGTTCTACGTTGCAATTGACTGACTGACTGACTATAATTTGGATACATAATTCGGAAGATGAAAGTCGGATGCCCAAACTGATGAATTACATTCGGATCACAAGGCGATATAAGTTAGACAACTATTAAAAACACGCGATGGCCGGTCCTTCCTACTACATACAGGACTTCTCGTCAATGTGCACCGACGACCTCTCTTTCAGGAACCAAAGTTAGAACCTTTGGTATTGCACAAGAACGCCTAACCTCTAGATTATTGAGCCAGGATTTAATTGTGTACAATCCTAACTTCCATCGATCCAAAATAATGAGCGATTACCTTCTATTGTCTTCTGTGGGTAACTTTTCCACATTCAACGTATTTGAACTCGATTGGTCCAGGCTACATGAAACGACCGTACAGTAGCTTTAGCTTTTGAATGGTTTTTGAACTCAAATCGGTTCTGTAAATCAATAAAATTCAACAATCTCCACATCTGTTTGCTGATAAGCCATAGCCTAAATAGTGAGACGACAGAGTACTACACTTCTAATCAAGCCACAGTCCTCGAACAGGACTTCATTATGCTATTTTTAAAATATAATAATCAATAAATTACGAACACTTCCCAGTCCATTCACCCAAAAAATATCTTTAAGATATGACAGCATTCATAATCGTAAAAAAAGCTACGATTTAAAGGGATGGGTAAAATGAAAACCGTTTGCACTTACAGAAGACAGCAAAATAGTTTAATTTATTTTGTAACACAGATTATGTAATGTAAGCTAATTACTCCAATCCCTTTTTTACTAACTTTCATTGGAAAAATTATAAAAGTCACTCACCGATAAATAACATAAATGTGACGTACCTTTTGATTTTGCATTTCATCGTAAGCAATTTGAAAAAGCTTTTGTGATTGAGTAAACTGTTGTTGTTGAAAAGCATACCGTCCAAGTACAAAGTTAAGAGATGCAGAAAGATAGCTTTTGGGAAGATGTATCGAGTTCTTGACAACAAAATCTGAGAGATCATTATGATTTCGATCTTCCTGAACAAATTTATTCTTCGATTCAGAAATTGTAGAAAACGTGGAATCGAGAGCTGAAAAGACTGAAGGAAGAGGTCTAGCTATGTTGAGTTCATCCAAAAGATTGTTGACTTCGTTTAACTGGTTTACAGACTCCTGTATACGAGTGAGAACAACGCCAACTTCTACACGGTTGTCAGCGAAAAATGCCACCTCAGGAATCTCGGTTAAGCCGGAAACAATCGGAGTAAGATTTCGAAAGGGTTGCGGCAGCATACTGGATGTATGGGAAACCTAAAAACTATATTACGTCATGTGAATGGACAAACATACATGAAGGCACCATATATGGTAAGACATTATACCATAAATTGTCATAGGGTTTAGCTGAGACCACGTATAATATCCGTAAGGATTTATGATGAAAATATTTTCTTTGTTTGTTGCCTGTTCAAAAAGAGGCTGTAGAACTGATGAAAATTTCGCAGTATTCATGACAAGAACTCTATAGAGACGTGCAAGAAGTTTTATAGGCATTTCTGATATGACCCGAAAAAGATTTAGATTGAATTTTAGATTAGCAGCAATTTGTAGGGAAATTATGTCCAAAACTTTTGACTTTTTGAATAGCCTAGACGATTCAACAAATATATCATCAGGATTTATAATTTCATTTTCCCCGATAAAGTTATCCACTGAATTATTTTCACAATTTGTGAGACTAGTTTTCCGTTCACTTATTTCAGCTTGTGATAAGGATTGTTTAAGTAACTCTAACTGATGTGATGTAGTTAAACTTTCAATATCTGACAATAATTTATTCGGCTGAGCAAGATAAAATAACCAGTTGTGTTCAACATCGTCAACCTTCATTTTTCAGTTAACTGGATGCAATACTGAGTCTGAAATATGGATAAATGCATGTTTATTAAAGAACTTAAAGTCCCTAAATATGAAGTACGACTTATTGCATAAAGTTTCTGACAAGAAAAAAATAAACTAGAATGCATATAAACATATAGTACTTGAATTAAATAAAATCTTCAGATACAACTGTTCGTATTGTTATCGAATCTGATTAGTAAAAAAATATAGTAATCAGCGCCAAAATTGTTAATCAGCTAAATCTTACTACAATGAATGTTTGTCTGCAGTCGAATTCTATGAAACATCACAGAATGAAAACAATAAACAATTCGAAAAAATTTGTACTGCCGCATTTCACCAACCAGATTTTGAACACACACAGACTTTATCCACGAGTATATTTCGACGATTAAAAATCGATGACATTCTTCAAACTTGGTGAAAAAAAATGACACTAATTGGTTTCAATGAATTAATAATAATTTACAGGCAAGAGTAGAGAAGCTACAACCCTTCGTATTATTTGCTAGGATTTTTATCATCGTTTACGAAACAGTCAGTCAGTCAGTCAGTCAGATGCAACGTACAACTTCGTACGTAAGTACATCAGTTCATGTCGCCATACCACCACATCAGCACAGAGACGCAAATGTCAAATCAAATCCCATAGTGATAAAGATAGTAGAGGTATTAAAATGGTAATGAAGAAGACTAGGGTCCGAAGATATAGTATTTCAACTCGTTTTTTAAGACTTTTAACAGGGTTTTTTAAAATAAAAACCCTGTTAAAAGCTTAAAAAACGAGTTGAAATACTATATCTTCGGACCCTAGTCTTCTTCATTACCATTTTAATACCTCTACTATCTTTATCACTATGGGATTTGATTTGACATTTGCGTCTCTGTGCTGATGTGGTGGTATGGCGACATGAACTGATGTACTTACGTACGAAGTTGTACGTTGCATCTGACTGACTGACTGACTGACTGTTTCGTAAACGATGATAAAAATCCTAGCAAATAATACGAAGGGTTGTAGCTTCTCTACTCTTGCCTGTAAATTATTATTAATTCATTGAAACCAATTAGTGTCATTTTTTTTCACCAAGTTTGAAGAATGTCATCGATTTTTAATCGTCGAAATATACTCGTGGATAAAGTCTGTGTGTGTTCAAAATCTGGTTGGTGAAATGCGGCAGTACAAATTTTTTCGAATTGTTTATTGTTTTCATTCTGTGATGTTTCATAGAATTCGACTGCAGACAAACATTCATTGTAGTAAGATTTAGCTGATTAACAATTTTGGCGCTGATTACTATATTTTTTTACTAATCAGATTCGATAACAATACGAACAGTTGTATCTGAAGATTTTATTTAATTCAAGTACTATATGTTTATATGCATTCTAGTTTATTTTTTTCTTGTCAGAAACTTTATGCAATAAGTCGTACTTCATATTTAGGGACTTTAAGTTCTTTAATAAACATGCATTTATCCATATTTCAGACTCAGTATTGCATCCAGTTAACTGAAAAATGAAGGTTGACGATGTTGAACACAACTGGTTATTTTATCTTGCTCAGCCGAATAAATTATTGTCAGATATTGAAAGTTTAACTACATCACATCAGTTAGAGTTACTTAAACAATCCTTATCACAAGCTGAAATAAGTGAACGGAAAACTAGTCTCACAAATTGTGAAAATAATTCAGTGGATAACTTTATCGGGGAAAATGAAATTATAAATCCTGATGATATATTTGTTGAATCGTCTAGGCTATTCAAAAAGTCAAAAGTTTTGGACATAATTTCCCTACAAATTGCTGCTAATCTAAAATTCAATCTAAATCTTTTTCGGGTCATATCAGAAATGCCTATAAAACTTCTTGCACGTCTCTATAGAGTTCTTGTCATGAATACTGCGAAATTTTCATCAGTTCTACAGCCTCTTTTTGAACAGGCAACAAACAAAGAAAATATTTTCATCATAAATCCTTACGGATATTATACGTGGTCTCAGCTAAACCCTATGACAATTTATGGTATAATGTCTTACCATATATGGTGCCTTCATGTATGTTTGTCCATTCACATGACGTAATATAGTTTTTAGGTTTCCCATACATCCAGTATGCTGCCGCAACCCTTTCGAAATCTTACTCCGATTGTTTCCGGCTTAAAGTCCTGAGGTGGCATTTTTCGCTGACAACCGTGTAGAGAGTTGGGCGTTTGTTCTCACTCGATACAGGAGTCTGTAAACCAGTTTAAACGAAGTCAACAATCTTTTGGATGAACTCAACATAGCTAGACCTCTTCCTTCAGGTCTTTTCAGCTCTCGATTCCACGTTTTCTACAATTTCTGAATCGAAGAATAAATTTGTTCAGGAAGATCGAAATCATAATGATCTCTCAGATTTTGTTGTCAAGAACTCGATACATCTTCCCAAAAGCTATCTTTCTGCATCTCTTAACTTTGTACTTGGACGGTATGCTTTTCAACAACAACAGTTTACTCAATCACAAAAGCTTTTTTCAAATTGCTTACGATGAAATGCAAAATCAAAAGGTACGTCACATTTATGTTATTTATCGGTGAGTGACTTTTATAATTTTTCCAATGAAAGTTAGTAAAAAAGGGATTGGAGTAATTAGCTTACATTACATAATCTGTGTTACAAAATAAATTAAACTATTTTGCTGTCTTCTGTAAGTGCAAACGGTTTTCATTTTACCCATCCCTTTAAATCGTAGCTTTTTTTACGATTATGAATGCTGGTCATATCTTAAAGATATTTTTTGGGTGAATGGACTGGGAAGTGTTCGTAATTTATTGATTATTATATTTTAAAAATAGCATAATGAAGTCCTGTTCGAGGACTGTGGCTTGATTAGAAGTGTAGTACTCTGTCGTCTCACTATTTAGGCTATGGCTTATCAGCAAACAGATGTGGAGATTGTTGCATTTTATTGATTTACAGAACCGATTTGAGTTCAAAAACCATTCAAAAGCTAAAGCTACTGTACGGTCGTTTCATGTAGCCTGGACCAATCGAGTTCAAATACGTTGAATGTGGAAAAGTTACCCACAGAAGACAATAGAAGGTAATCGCTCATTATTTTGGATCGATGGAAGTTAGGATTGTACACAATTAAATCCTGGCTCAATAATCTAGAGGTTAGGCGTTCTTGTGCAATACCAAAGGTTCTAACTTTGGTTCCTGAAAGAGAGGTCGTCGGTGCACATTGACGAGAAGTCCTGTATGTAGTAGGAAGGACCGGCCATCGCGTGTTTTTAATAGTTGTCTAACTTATATCGCCTTGTGATCCGAATGTAATTCATCAGTTTGGGCATCCGACTTTCATCTTCCGAATTATGTATCCAAATTATAGTCAGTCAGTCAGTCAATTGCAACGTAGAACTTCGTACGTATGTACATAAGTTCATGTCGCCATACCACATCAGCACAGAGATGTAATTGTCAATTCAAATCCAGTAGTAGAAGAGGTAGTAATGGTATTAGGAGTAATCGGAGAGGTTAGGATTAGAAGATATTATTCAAGAAGTATACTTCAGTGAGATAAGGTTAGAAAGACAAAGGTAGAGGTGCTGACGAATCCAGAAGATTAGGATTTGAGAGAACACAAATAATGGATGCACTGGCGCCATTGCAAACGATTTTGAGCCATGTCGTTCAAGGTCTCTAACCATTGACGACTTTCGTCTCGCGGACCCCAACCAGGTAGTCTACATCTACCAACATGACTCAGTCTACTTGTTAGTGACTTCATGGATTTGTGCCATGTTTTGGTCTGGCCGCCCCTAGCTTTCTTCCAACCTACTCATACACCACAAAACATAGCTCGTCGAGGCAGTCGGTGGTTAGTCATACGTAATACATGTCCCAACCACCTCAACTGATGAAGTTTCACCACTTTATCAATTGATCTGCCATTCTTACCTAGCACCCGTTTCCCAACTACAACATTGCTTACTCGGTTGTCCCAGGGTATACGAGCAATGCTTCGAAGACACCTATGATCGAAAACCAGTAACCTACGAACATCTTCTACTCTCACTGACCATGTTTCACAGCCATAAAGTAAGACGGAGCGAACTACTGCGCAGTACACTCGTCCTTTAGTCAGCAAACGGATATCTCGCCTTCGCCATAAGTGACGCAGGTTGGCGAAAACCAATCGAGCCTTCTTTATCCGCGCTGAGATTTCGTCGTTCACCAGGCTATCAGCACTGATGAGACTCCCAAGATAAGTGAGGCGGTCTACACGTTCGACTACTTCACTCCCTATCACTAGTTCAGGTGCCGATGAAACCCAGTCTTGAAACAACATTTTGCATTTCGAGGGGGAAAACCGCATCCCGAACATGCTCGCATTGTTGCTTAGGGTAGTCAGAAGACTCTGCATTTTGTCAGCGTCTTCACCGAATAGGACTATGTCATCGGCATATTCTAAGTCAATAAGCGAGCCACCTGGTAAAAGGTCTACTCCTGAAAATTCGGATGAGGATAAGGTTATTTCTAGGAGCATGTCTATGATAAAATTAAACAAGAATGGAGAGAGTGGACATCCCTGACGAACACCACTTGAAGTGAAGAATTCCGGTGACAGTTCGCCATAAGCTCTCACTCGACCAGTGGTGTTAGAGTAGAGAGCTTGTATGAGGTTAATGTACTTCTTTGATACACCTTTCAATGACAGGCACTGCCACAGAACCTCACGATCCACTGAGTCAAATGCCGCTTTTAGGTTCAGGAACACGACTATTGTAGGACGTCTAAATGTGTGTCTGTGTTCCAGGACCTGTCGTAGTATGAAGTTGTGGTCTCTACAACCACGTCCAGGTCGAAAACCAGTCTGGTTTTGTCGAGTCTGCTCTTCACGTGCTCTAGTTAGACGTCTAAGTATAATCGAGGCTAACAATTTAGAAACTATATTAGTTAGACTTATTCCCCTGTGATTGTCGCAAGAGGACTTTTGTCATTTCTTATAGATTGGGACAATCAGTGATTCAGACCAGTCGGGTGGGATTACGTCCAGTTCCCAGATTCTACCTAAGATCTCAGTCAATGTAGCTGTTAAACCTGGACCACCATCCTTAAATATCTCAGGCGTCAGTATATCAGGGCCTGCTGCTCTACTTCGCTTTAGATTTGCTATAGCTTTCTCAACTTCATGTAAACTGGGAGGACTTACGTCGATTTGCCATTCAGGATTACTGGAGATCGTGGGCAACCGAAGTGTGGCTCGAGGCCAGTTGAACTGATCCCTAAAGTGTTCTGCCCATCGATCCAGTCTCCTAGATTGTGAATGGATAATAAGACTATCCTTTTCCGAGATAGTCTCACTCACATTCGGGTTCCTAATACCGGTTTCTTCGATAAGGCGGAAAAGTTGTCTACTGTTGCCTATCGCCGCTACCTTTTCCATCGCTTTTGCTTTCGCCACCCACCACTGTTCACGGTAGTTGCGCAGGCTTTTTATAAGTCTGCGCCAAAGCTGACTACGCTTTTCATCATTCAAGTTATAAGATTGCATGTAGTAAGAACGTTCGGTTAAACTAGGTCATAGGATTAACTTAACAACCTTTTACGAAGGTTGGTGTAGAAATTTTTAATATCCATATTCTTAGGTTTGTGAAAGCTTTAGGCACCACAAAGTTTAGGAATGATGTATTCTAAATGTAAATAGGTTCTGGTAATCTTTAGTCCACTGCAATGCTTGGTGTGGTTTGAAAACTTACGCTTTCCATATTATTTCATCTCACTAATATGTCTCATTATCACTTTTTATTTATTTGACTTTATTTAACTTCTTTAGTTTACATATATGAGTGCTCTGGGTAGTATATACATGTGACCAGATTTTTCAAAGTGTATTGCTCAAACCCGTTACCTCCCATTTAGTTTTTGTTGAACTCATTGTTTTTCAGAAGGAATTATTCATTGACTATTTAGTTTCTGTTAATGTTTAGTTCGATGTTGGCAGCCGGTGGGTAGGAAAGTGATTTGATCTTGGGTGAATTTCCATGCTCAAACAAACTGGGATGGGTCACTACTAAGAGTTTCTGACAACTGGGAATATCATCTCAATAACATTTTCTCTTAAATTTAACGGCAACATCAGTTTGATTACATAAATTGAACTTAAGAGATTTTTGAAAATATCATTTTTTCACATTCTGCAAGTCTTATTTATTGCTTTAGGTAAATCAACCAAAACCACACCTTTCATTCGATCCTAGTTTACTGTTTATTTATAGGTATCAATACTGACGTTTAGCTTGATGATATAGTAAAAAAAAGATTTAGTATTTTTACAATAACATAATGATATGTTTGTGATGTCTTAATAAGTAGAAGTTTTAAATTCTTGACGTTTCACGATGTAGATTAAATTGATTTTTTTTGATTGTAGGCAGATTATTATTTACTTACTGTTCACAAATATATCCCTATTTCTGATGATATTTAATGACTCGTTAGCCAATGGTTGTCTATAATAAGTCTATCAAACTATTTCTGTATTGAATCGTATGTCTGACTTGAAAAAAGGTTTTATAGTTAGACATTCTATCCCCATGTCTGGTAAAAAGAATAAATGTGTGACTGAGAATGTTGGAGTTTCGATAATTTGAAACTTATTGCCTTAATTTTACTTAAAGTCGGTACTCCGAAGAACCAAGCATTTAGTTCATTTGTATTGGTAGTCTGAATCTTCCGATTGATAGTTAGGACTGGAATTGATCAGTCTCATTTTGCATTTGTGCATTATGTACTGTAATATAGTGCTATAAGCTGAGATGGACAGTGGCTATCAGTCGAATCCGGGACACGCGTTTCGTTTCAATGGGGAGATCCAAACTGCCAATACAAGTGAATTAAACTTCCCTCCACTGTACAAGTTAGTGGCTGTCTAGATTCGGTAGCTAAGTGGATAACGCTATGGTGTTCGAAGCGAACAGTACTGGGTTCAAGTCTTGGAGTGAACATCAACTCTGAGATGCAGGTGAGTCCGGCCGATGAGTCCCAAATAGGACGAAATGCACGTTCAGTGTTTCGCTACTAGCCATTTAGTTGGCACAGATATGTACAGTGATGAATAATGCGTTTTAGTATTGATCCACTCTCTAAGCATACAGTAGCAAGTCTCGTCCTTGCTGTATATTGCTTACTCAAAGGTCGTCTGTGTATTCGAAAATGTTAGCAAATAGCACTAAATCTATCAATGTAACGGTTTGAAGTAACAGCATAGCTAGATCACCTAGATCACCGAACCTGCTAACGGGTGGTAGCAGCCTTAGCGCAGGTTGATGAAAAACCTACGCAATGATAGTTAACAGTGCTGAGTAGCGGTAGCACGTACCAGTAGACAACTATTCAAACATGTTTAGGAAATGGGTGTTAAATATCCGGCTTGTAAGGATATTCATCCAATATCCTTAGAGTATCATTGGTTAGTTCCTATTGGTTAATTCCTACTGGTTAATATAATGGTCGTCTTATAAATCAATGTCACTTACTCCAATGTTGTTTCTTATTGGTCGTCTTAACTGTCAATGTCACAGACTTCGATACTCTTTCCTATTCGACCTAAATGTATGCATACGCCTTATCTGTAAAGCTTTTGATTCCGTTCCTTCCTGCCTTCATTTCTACTGTACTCGACCCATTAAATAACTTCATCAAACGGTGTTGTGTTCTGATATATAGGAGATTTAGGAATAGTATTTGGGTCGTATTGGAATATTTGAATTCGGACGTCGGTAGGACTGACTAACTACTTAGCAGCATTATAACACGGCTGTTAGCGAGACCCACAAAAAGGCGGGACTACTATTTGTTCTCAATCCAAAAGATCGAATCGATAGGCAGAATACATCAGGAAACAGTTCGACTGACCTTCAACTACACTTCAATTACCCACCATCACCAGTCGATATTTATGGCAAGTTGATGTAGGTCCTTCAACTCTTAACGAGGTTTAAAAAGCTATAGACAATATAAGGTAACGGAGAGCGTCAGGACCTGTTAGATTAACCCATGAGATTTTTAAGGATCTTGGTCCAGTTTTAGAAGTTTGTTTGACTTATTGACTGAGTCTGAGCTAGATACGACACTTTCTTCATCTGACTTTTCAAAACTTGATCTTTAACTAGGAGATTCATTGTTTGACTCTGAAAATGCCGATGACATAGTTCTATTTGGTGAAGACACTGACAAAATGCAGTGTCTCCTGACTATCCTAAGCCACAAAGCAAGCATGTTCGGGATGCGATTCTCTCTGTCGAAATGCGAAATGTTGCTTCAAGTTTGGCTTGTATCGGCACCTGAACTAGTGATAGGGAATGAAGCAGTTGAGCATGTTGACCGCTTTACTTATCTTGGGAGTCCCATCTGTGCTGATGGCCTGGTGACTGACGAAATCTCAGCACGAGCACAGAAGGCTCGATTGGCTTTGACAAACTTGCATCACTTATGTCGGAGGCGAGATATCCGTCTGCTAACTGAAGGACGAATGTGCTGTGCAGTAGTTCTCTCCGTCCTATCTCATGGCTATGAGAAATGGCCAGTCAGAGTAGAAGATATTCGTAGGTTGCTTGTTTTTGACCATAGGTCTCTTGGAAGCATTGCACGTGTATCATGGGACAACTGAGTAAGAAATGCTGTTGTTAGAAAACGGGTGCTAGGTATGGATGGCAGGTTAATAGATGAACTAATAAAACTTCATCAGCTGAGGTGGTTGGGATGTGTGTTACGTGTGCCTAACCACCAACTGCCTTGTCGAGCTATGGGCGGCCAGACCAGAATATAGAAGTAATCCATGACGTCACTGACAAGTAGACTGAGTCATGTTTTTCATTTACTTAAGTTGTACAACCGTGTTTATAGTTAATTTTATTTGCTAAATTCATAGTCTATAGTAAAATCGAATGATGTGGAATAATAATAATAATAATAATAATAATAATAATAATAGTAATAATAATGAAACAACTTGAAGTGGTATCAAGTTCTGGAATCGTTTATGCTCTTTCTGAGTGGCCAATATAACCTGCTCCATACAAATAGGTAAATTGATCGATACACAATGGATTTGCAAGTTCCTCTCAATCATCATTCTTCTTTGTATTGTTGTGTCTGACATTTAACGAAAAATTATTTTATACTGTTTTATCTATAGTTTGATTATTTAGAAGAAGTAGGAGCTACACCTAAATTAGTGCAAGCTTATTTAACTGCATGCAAATCATACACATCCATAGAATGTATTTCAAATGAATTTTCAGTTTGTCAATCTGACAGCCAATTTTTAGAAACATTTTGTCATCTATTAGAAGTAAATGCGTTAGATTCTCATCATCATAAAAATTCAATCAATACATTTTGGATTCAACCATGGAATAATACTACATGTGATAGTACAACAGCAGTCAATATGGAACTAATCACTACTACCATAGAAGATCATCTTTATCAAGTTTTACTGAATGTGGATCAATTTTCAATTGATGATTCATCTCAATCCTATATTCCAATTAGTTTAGGAGTTCGTAATAAATTAGAAAGTTTATGTCTAAAACAATTGTATGATTGTATTGGTTTGCTGGATGATACAATGGATACTACACGAAATATGCATCCTGCAAAACAATCAAAGCATACTAAGCCATCATTATCAAATGACAAAACATCAAGTTTCAACGCTGTTCATCAACTATTCACTAAGGTATGTGTTATATATCCTCCGATATTGTTTGATAACGTATAATGTAAAGCAATGCTTAAAGATAGTCGGCGGGAGACCTTGCTATTTGGCACTCATCAGCAAGGTGTATCTGTAATCCTGATGAAACTGGTGCACCCTGGTGAATCTGACTCTGTTATCTAGTTGCACAGTCAGACGCGTTATCAATTAGCTATTCGAGCCTTACTTGATCTCCTGTAGGACTGAATTATATCTACAATTGGTCGATTACTGAGTATCGACCAATTTAATTTGTGCCAAATCCTTCTAAGTGTCGATCAAGTCGTAATGACTCAATATTTGGTGCACTATGTTGAGATGTATGATAGTAGTGACCATGTTACAACTTGGTCAATAGAATTCGGTCAGCACTGTAAAACTTGAGTTGACCACTGTTCAACAAACAATCGCTTGTTGATTCTCTCTCTCAATCTCCTCGGAAATATGAAATATACCATCTTGAATGGATACTCACTTATGCCAGGTCCCATACATCAATTATGAGTGACTACTGATCAGCAGATTTCATGTACTATTTTTTATACAGTATTTCTTTCGATAAATGTCAATCGTACAACACAATGTTTTCATAGTTCGAATCAGGAACTAGTCTTAGGTAGACTAGTATTGAAAACTTGCAGTGTTTATCTACGACTCCGCAGCCGGAAGTCGAAACCATAACCTTGGTATTATGTTGAGTATGAATATATGTTAAAAAACTGAGTGGCTAACATATCGATTAAATTACGTCTTTCGGAAAAACACCTCACTGCCAACGTTATTAGATTGAAGAGAAAAGGTTTACAAGCAGTCTTCTGAAAATAGTAAAATCTGTTGTTCCTATTGGTTAATCTTTGTATATGATATGCTTCGAAACACGATAGGATATTCTAATCCTTTGTCCCCAGCCCGGCTAACTTTATCAAGAAGTCTTGATACAGGCGTAAAAATGTGTATTCTACAAGCATCCAGAAAATATGAGGTTTGACATGCACACAAATCGAGCTTATTTATACAGGATAGAAAACGTCCTTGGGAGAGCTATAAAAAAGCATACTAAAATAATGCATCAACCAATGACAGTCAAGGATCTTCCGAGGAGGAATTGTAATTTCAAGATCAGCTGAGCAGCTTATGCGCGAAAAACAAAGGATCCAAAATTAGGACCTTTTCGAAGGGAAATTCGTGGATTCAGCGTCTCCGAACAGTATATATTTAATATTTTGCGTATTGCTTTATTTTTCAGGTACATATATGTAACGCAATTGATCGACTAAATGTCTGAATCTATAGAATTACCACTTTCACTATCAACTGAATTATTATTGAATATTCCGAAGAGGAATTTCGAAAGGCTACAAAAAAAGAACACAGATCGTCGCATCATCATCATCTTCTCCTCCATTTATTGATGTAAGTTGGACGTGAATTTCTCTTTGATTGTTTAACTTCTATAATGGACAAAACTATCATCGACTTCTAAAAATCCGAACTTATCATCTTCAGTTCAATTTACTACTCTATGCCAGTATGTGACATTTTTAAGTGCAAGAAGGAATTTGTTTGCTTGGTAATTTATTGCATAAATCAATCCTTAAATTGAATTCTGAATTAAATTCAAAACAAAAGAATTATCAAGATTTGTTAAAAACTCTTGTATCACATAAATTGGTAAGTTGATTAAATGGTTCGTTAGAAGAAGTATCTTAATTCTCTCTTTAAAGCTATTGTTTCATTGTATTTTATTCTTACTTTATCTTATTGTTGAACATTTTTTTTTTGCACTATGCCGTGTTCTACAACAATTCAACATTCTTTGATTCACCATTGCCATCGTTATATTGATTCGATTCAAAGTGGGTTAATTGGCTAATAAAACAAAGATTATTTTGGTCATACTCTTAGCTAAAAGTTATCACCTAGTGAAATATATACTAGATATTTTCGATCAATCCTCAACAGCTAGATAGATGTAGGCTACCTGGTTGGGAATCCTTGAGACGATAGTAACGGATGGTTAGAGAGACCTTGAACAATATGGCTCAAAATCGTTTGCAATGGCGCACGTGCATCCACTCTTTTGTTCTCTGGAATTCTAGTCTCCTGAATCCTCTCATCATCTTTATCTTTTCAGTTTGTTTCACTAGATTATCCTTTTTGAATAAATCCTTGAACTGTAATCTATCTCCATTTACCGTTAATACTTCTACTATATCTACTACTTTGCGGATTTGAGTTGAGAGTTGCGTCTCTGTGCTAATTGCGGTGAACCTGAACTTGTGTACGTACGTACGTACGTTGTAGCTGGATGACTGATTGACGGAACAATAGCTAAATGATAAAATGCTGTGACTTTTAACTGTTAGACTGTAAGTTTGGGAAAATTTCAATTGGCTTACTTTTATATTGGGCAGCTGGATGATAGATATCTGTAGCCTCATACGAACAGTATGGTGTATATCGAAACACATCAACAGGTTCTGGTCAATACCTATCTACCTTTGATTTGAAGATAAATCACTTGATAGTGATCTTAAATACAACCAAATAGTCTCAATATATATCACTGTCATCTATCATGATATCAACAATTCAATTGGAGTCAAAATGATTAGCCTACCAAATTTAGTATTCAAACCACAGTGTCAGTAACTTTAACATGACCTTTGTTACTTATAGTATTTTAAGGAATTGAACCAACAGTTTCTCAGATTATCTTTGAATTGTAATTTAGGTTTTTTCATGCTTTTATTACCGAAAAGTATTGCTAAAATTCCAATTTTATCATTTCTAAACATAACAAAACATAATCTACTACTTCGTTCATATGGGAAATGATTCTACAAAAAAATCACAGTTAGTCTGTCTTAAGCAGAATAAAACATGGCGTCAATGTACATCGGTTCAAAGTTGCCCCGCCGCGTTGCTAAACACAGCAAAATGAAATTATCAGTAAAAATACTAAAATTACAGAATTACTAACAGTATCAGTGTTATTAAGAAATATTAAGCATAAAGGAGGGTAACCACAATTTTTCATAGTACATATTATCTAACCTCAACGTTGATCTCTTGGCGCTCTCACCATCGATAAACAATAATTCGAAAACGCGTGTGATCAAATCCTAATAACTTCATAGTATCCTTTACATTAAACAACTACGTTTGATGGCTGTAAATTAAAATAGCTAATTGTGTTGCAGTCTATTTGTATTGTATTCGGCAGACGGATATATTGCCTACATCACAAGCCAGGCACACGAAGTTACTTGGAAGATATAACCTATACATACATATAGAGATGTCTTTTGTACCAGATATCATTTTATATATACACATATATAACCATATATTTTGTTATTTTAGATGGAATTGTTACCAGAATCTTGCAGAAAATATATACAGTCTATTTTTGAAGCAGTAAATTCTGCCGGTTCATCTGAAACGGAAGTAAATTCCGATCTTTTCTGTGCTTTTATTCCTGACTGTCTTGCCGATATGCCTAATCTAGATATTGGTCTTGATTCAAACCTACGTCCAATGGAATCGGATGATTTAAACTTTCTTGGACTTGGATTTTGGGCAAATTCTGAGGTATATCCAAATGCTGGATCGTTTAGACCACAGTTATCTAGAGGTGGATCGCCATTTCGAGTCGTTGGTGATGTGGATATGCGTAGCTTAGCTGGTCAGCATCAGTTTCCATCAACATCATTTCCTCACATGTCACTTCCGCAGTCCCATGTAACTGGTGGACATGGACATTTCGCTGGTCAATCACTTCAAGCTTTTACTAGAGAAAACCCACTTGCATGCGATCTCCGAGTAGTACGTCATCTTTTCGACCACACGGAATCCAACTGATGTAAATACATCAGTAGATTATCTATTAAGGTCGGGTATGACACCGAATGGAATTTTAGAATTAAATGGTTCATGGCTTTCATCATTACATTATTTAGCTTCACTGGAAATAGTCGGACTACATCCTACTGATGAGAACATTGTAAGTTATCGTTTATTGATCTGTTTCATTTATGTACTCTTTTTTACAAGTGAACCAGATTGTTTCGAATAGGTGAATTCATTCACAATATTTTGTCTATATATATATATATATATATATATATGTATAAGCAAGATAAAATCTGGCCTATATGTGCACCAGGTCAAGTCTTTACATTAAAATAAACACATCGAGATGATATACTCATCGATGAATACTGGCTAAGTAGAGGTAGTGTTAGTGCCGTTGTTAATAATAGATATTAGCCATGGGGAATATAATCTGAGTTGGTTCACAAAATAAAAAGTATAAAATAATTTTGAAAGTCAATATCTAGAGTATCAATTTGGAGAGTGATTGGATTTATCGCAGTGTATCTGGCCCTGAACTACGATGTCTTGAATGTCTGAAATTCTACTGCTCTAAAATCATCTCTGCATCGCTCTGTTTAATTACACAATGTACCAACCAGTTATTATTCAAAGGCTACTTAATCAAGTATGGTATTCTAATGATGTGAAGTACTTCTCTGTACTAAATTTATTCCTAACTTTTATTGCATCATCTACAAGGCCTTTTGTGATCCTATAAATCGTCTATATTTTCTATGCTTAAACTAACCTCTAAGGTGAAGTTTCTTCCATAGTTTCACCCTCCTCTGGTTTTATTTAGGGTTTCAGGTTTCGAAAATTAACAAGTCTGGAGATTGAACTCAAAAGTTATTATTTTGAAACATTCAGTGTATTGTGTATATTATCATGGCTACATATATGAAATAAATCTCCATATGTTGTTAACTATTAAGATTACTTCTGGTTTTATTGAAAGCTAATAGGTGTTAAGTAATTAATTCATTATGTTCACCAGAAAATCATCTTTGAAATTATTGTTAGCATTATTTTGGGATTAATGGATGATTGATTGTCACTGGTTATTTTTAACTTTGATTTTTTTCAACTACTTGAGAATATGGTTTGCAATTGAAAATATTTTGAATGAAACAATTGCATCCGCTTAAAAGTGATATTCTTGTAGAGATCGAACAATTATAGAACTTTGTACATTTATAAATATTATCTGTTCTGCCTGTAGCTTATTGTCTAAAGTGTTCGATTCTGAATCATTGATTTGAAAATTCAAATCTTGTTCCATGCATTTCGATTTAAGGTAGTTATCTAGTATCATTTGTCCGTCCTTACGTTAATAAGTATGCCTAAAAGTTGGATTTTTGAATTTCTACTTGATAAATGAGTTACGTTGTGCTCATATTTTTAAGTGTGTTGGCCACTTCATTTATCTTGAGAGTCTCATAAGCCCTGATAGGCTGGCATCTGACGAAGTTTTAGGATGGATTCAGAAAGTTCATTTGACTTTCACTACCCTTTGTTAGTTGCGCCGTTGACGAGATATCTGTTTATCAAGCAAAGGATCAGTATACTGCTCAGCAGTCCACTGCGTCCCACTTTATGAGTATGAAAAATTATCATTGAGAATAAAGGATGCTCATAGGTTACTAGTATTCTGTTATAGGTGTTTTCGGAACAGATTGCTCGTGTATTTTGAAACCATTGAGTAAATAATAACTAGGTTAGGAATGGGGTACTTGGTAAAGATGACAAATCAGTTGGTGGGATAGTTAGTCATCATTATGTGAGGTAGTTGGTTACGCATGAAACAACCCCGCCTACCTCGACGGGCTATGTTGTGCGGTGCAGAAGTAGTCTGAAACAAATCTAGGTGTGACCAAACTGGGGAATGTTATCAGTCCATAAAAACACCAACTGTTGGGCCATGTACTTAGGTATAAACTACCTTGTTGGCGTTCGTGTGGATTATTGTAACTAATAGTTAAAAACTTCGAGTTATATGGCCCAAAATCTTTCTCATTGGCGCAAGTGGATTCATTCTTTATCTTTCCCCAAATTCTAATCCGAACTTCGTATGATCATTTTATTTTACTGATTTATATTTTATTGAATCTTATATCGGATGCCTATACCCGAACAATTTCATCTCTTCCTGCTTATGGGTTATGACAACTTAAGCCAATCTACACACGTACCGATTCTTCTATGCTGAATTTGACTAATTTTTCTTGTAAATACATGATCACATAATTTAGCCAAATCTATGTACTACAATATTTGTATATCAGGTACTAATATATATATTGTATTTCGATTTTTTATGCTTCACTTCAAGTTAACCAATCCAATTGATTTCTTGTTATCATCATCTGGGAATATTATGTGGGCGATTACAGTTTTAATACAATTAGCTAAAGGTTCTTCTATCATTCGTCATGAAATGTCACCATTCACAGGAGCTAGAGCTTTTCTACTTGCTGCTTTAAATAATCTAGCATCAATTAATCCTATGGTACCACCTCCGCCGTCATCATCTGTTAATGTTGCACCAACATCCGGTCATATAGTTGGAAAGCAATCTCGTCCCAGTGATGCTTTCCAATGGATTCATGCTTCTATCAAACATGAATTACTATTAGCTGATTTATTGGTAAGGTTATGGAAATTCTTGTATGTTGTTTGTTTACTTTTTTGTAGCTTAACAATTTTTAAAACAATTGGACCGCTTATGAATGGGTTTATGTAGTCCTCTGTATATGGCTGTGAACAATGGATTTTGACGGTGCTGAACTGTTTTCTTCTAATGTCGTAGTCAATGAGTAATTTTATATATAGGCTTACAGTTCCCAGCAACATAAATTTGAATCTATTGATGAGATTTTAGTCCGACGTGTAATAGATTAGAGGGCATGTTACATTGTTCACTTACCAGTTAGTTACATGATACCATTAGAAGCAACATGGAATAATACAGTTTGTATTACAAGTTGAGGTTATTAAGACAATTATTGGAAACTAGGAAGCATTGAATAGTTGTTTCATTCTAGTATGAGACTCCTCAGCGGTGTTCACTTACGACCATAATGAACTGTTATGTCATATCAGTTGGAGATACTTACTTGCGCCTGTTACCCTAAACAGAGCTGACCGTTTCTGGTTAGCGTTTTTTTTTAATGAGTTGGTTTTCTACAGAATAAGGTCGCTAACCCCATGCCCAACCCTCCTCCGTTATGAGGGCTTGGGACTGGCAGTAACCCCACTTGTTCAATAATGATAATAATTTCATTCAGTTATTTATTTAAAAATTATAATAAATGAATTTAAATGTATTACCTCTCTCGTAAAGGAGTACTTGAATCCATCATCAGTGAATCATTTTAGTGGAAATAACAGTCATAATAATCCATCACATTCAATCTCAAAATCAACTCTTCATACTGGACAAGTATCATTGAATGATTTAATTAGACGAGTTAAAATTTGTCTGTGTTATGCTGCTGGTTTGTCGTCAAATGCAAATTCATTGGAAACAAAAATGGAATCTATGAATTTGATTGGTTTATCTAATGAATTGATTACTGCAGCCAGTTGTTTTCTTTTAATGGTTAAAGTGAGTAATAAGGTTTGCTATGTTCATTGTCTGTGATATATTATTGAACTTTCTTGGTTATTATCATGGGGTATCAATAGGTAAAATGTTCAACTTTTAGTCATTCAATCTGAGGCTCGAATGTCACTCAACCTAATTTTCGGTTTCGATAGCCTGGACATTAGAAGTGCAGTTTTGAAAGTCAAGTACAACACGAGTTTGTACCTGATAATGAGGTGGTATTAATAATAATTTCATACTTTGATAAATAAAAGATTGAACATTAGGAGAGAATATGGTATGGAAAGAAGGAATCGAAAGGTATGTGTAATCTAGTGAATAATAATAAAGCGAGTGGGTGTATCTGTGCCATTGTAATCGATTCTCCCACCATTTATTACAATAACCATGCAAACCGTAATGAAGTGGTCTGCCCCTACAACTGACACATGGTTCAGATCAGTTGAACAAAAATTTCTTATCTTGGTTTGTTCACTTTTAGCCTTTTTCTTGACCTATTCGTACATCAGATTCCAACCTCATAAAATCGATTTTCCACTTATTTTTCGTAGTATGCCAAAGAAACTTTTAAATAATTAATGAAAAATAAAAATCTGGTACAAATAACTATGATCCCCTTGTCTCTATTTCAAAACATTGACATATTAATTTATACATTTTTGAAACCATGAATCGATCAATGTTAGACCACCGTTAGAAACCTGGAAGCACTGGACGGCCGTTTCGTCCTGGTATGGGACTCCTCAGCAGTGCGCATCCACGACTCCTGCACCCCGCAGGAGTGACTTATTCACTTTTAAAATGTAACAATGTGATAAGCAGTACAAAGAAATTTCCCATTTTTGTTTCCACTTCAGGAATGTGATTTCTTATATCCTATGTCAATTGCATCGAAATCTTCCATTTCATTACCGTCGGGAAATATTTCATTTCGTGTCGCATGTGCCGGTTCCTTAGACTTAATTCGTATTCTCTTACATTTTCATGAAGTATTACATTCATCATCATCATCATCGCATGAAAGTTCCAATTCAACAACCACATCATCATCATCATCAACAACAACATCAGCAACAATCAATCCGCATAGAAATTTTGACAAACAAGATTTTAATCATTTAAAGAAGAATATTTTAAGTGCCACCGTTAAATTGGCTGATGCGGACCGACTAAAAACTGTGATCAATGAATTTTACGGATTAATTATTCATGGATGTTTTGCTTCTGCATATAATAATTCACTTGATACACTGAATACTAATGTTGTAACATTAGCTGGATCTGAACAACAACAACAACAACAGCAGCGAGGTTTTCGAAATTATCATCCAGGTTTGGCAGGCATTTGTTTTTTTTTCAAAAGTTTTTACTGAATGTGCTGATTAATATGTTTAATTCTCTTTTGAGTTGTAAAACTAGCTAGCTTGTGTATCTTGATCATTCAACTGAGCTTTACTAGCTGGAACACATGTCGCGTTTGGTCCTACCATGCCTAACAGGTCGATTGGAGGACAGCAGAGACTAAAAGCAACAACTTAAGGTCTGAGGGAGCAGTCGTATTGCTGACTGTAGAGGCTAGGGACAATGCTACCTCACAACGAAAGGAGTTAAAAATGGTTGATCCTTAAAATGTCACACCTCACTTTTTACCCCATAGATTTCCTTCTCCCATGAAACGTCCATGTACAACCGGTCTCAAGTAGTTATCTCTTGGGCTCTGCGATCACACTTCTACGGTCTCTAAGACTAACAGTAATCCAACTTTCATTTTCAAGTTACTCTAGAAATACTCTTTCCCCATGTGGATAACCGGGAAGTGACATTCTCCTGCATGCCCCTATTAACACACGAAATCAATTTTTTCTATTTTGTAGGTTGTATTTGTCATAGATATAGGTCTTACTTCTCGTTCTCTTGCTCTCATGGATAGATGAATTTCAGAAATATCGGGATTAAAACAATTATAGTCAATGCCAATAAATGATCATAGCAATCAATACATGGCAAATTGATGGGATTCGCTATTGTTCGATTGGATGTAGTTGCAATGATTCCAATTGGTTCAACATTCTCTATAAGAACTAAATATCCTAGATTCAATCCTTGGTGCATTTGTGATGCATGCTTTTGAAGAGTTCCATACTAGCACAAAACAACTTCCCAGTTAGTTGTCTCTAGTTTTCTCTCTCTCATAGCTTTTGCATTGAGCACTTAGTCAATATCACATTTCATTGTTAATTTTGTACTTTCATATTTTGTTTGTTTTTACAGATTCATCATCATCATCTACTCGTTCTGGAATAAGTTTGCCTAGTTTATATATTATAGGTGAAATGTTAGCAACTATCGATGAAATTACCCAATTATTGTCTACTATTGGATTGAAATTCCCAATGGATAATAAACGCAGACTATTCAGCCATCATTCATTGATCGGATTACAATTATTAGATTATTTAATTATTAGTTTTGCTCAAATTACACATCAACTGTGTGGAAAATTCAATTTACACATTTTAGAACAATTGGTGAATTGTTTTAATTCCTCCATTCATCGTGTAGAGAATAATAAAAATGACGAGTCAATGAGTGAAGAATCGTCGGCAACCACAGCAATAGGGACCGCTAGTACCATCAACACTGCGGATACATCTGGCGGCGGCGGCGGCGGTGGTGATTCACAGTCCACTACAAAATTACGTACATCCCGATGGGATAAACCGAAAGATAATTTATCCAATATGAACAAACACAATCACACTAAAACTGCTACAACGAACATTAATAATAAACGATATCATTCTGACAAACATTTAGCTAGTCATAAATCGGTGACAGTGTCATTTTTAGATAAACAACTATGGACTTTAGACGTGGAAACAAATTGTTCAGTAAGTCCCAAAGTGTAAACTTATATTAATACTTGCTGTCCAAGTGTGTGTGTGTGTGTGGATTAGTGATTGAAATCTTTAATTTTTTTTAAATTTGAAATCCCACTGTTTTAGTTAGAAAGTTATCGCTTTATCAGAAGAAATCAAGCATGATGTTGGCGTTTTGTCAGATACTTGTAAATATTTATTTTGCATACAAATAACTTAATCAAAACCATTTTACCTAGAATACTGAGCAAAAACAAGTGAAACTTGCTGTTTAATCATTCATCGCTATCTAAAGTGTGAATTAATGCATTTAGAGTATACATAGATCGAAAATGTACAGGTTGTATTATGGATTGAATTTAGTGAGTCAGTCAACCGACCAACCAACCAACAAGAAGCACTGGATAATTGTTTCGTTCTTGTATGAAATTTCTGTGCCGGATGCATTCACTGCAAATTGAATCTTAAACATTCAATCAAATCTTACTGTGTGTGTTTTTAATCTATAGACTATTTAGTTGACATCAAATATTCCACAAGTCTTACTTAAATAATATTATTGTCTTAACATTTGTCTGACATTTGAAATCAGTCGGTGATGTAAATTATCAAATTCAACAATCTCCATAATCTCCATTACAGTTAAAATGGAAATACAGGTAAAAAATTGTTTAATAAAGTGTAAACAATTAAGATTGTCATTGTATTTTTTTTATGGCAAAATTACATTTAAGAAATGACGTTGAACGATTTGTCAGTCAATTAGAAGACAGTGTTGGGTTCTGAAGCAATTCACAATGAAAAAGTAACAAGTTTATAATAGGCAAAATGTGTTTACGCATATACAATAAATTATCTCTGATAGCAAACGACAGAAGAAGAATAATGTAACGAGTTGGTTTAAACTTTAAAAAAAAATACTTTTTAGTAGCCCAAATATCCTTGGCTATGCTCTGAGACGCAGTAATCACTATGCTTAACAAATAATCGGCATTTTACATGTAATCTTGATAAAAAGCGTTTTAAGAACGAAATGTAGACAATTTTTTATCTAACTCTCCGTGCCTTATAAGGAAGCACTGCGTTAAACCTGGTTGGTTCGGCGGCGTACTGTTGTTTTTACCTTCAATTTCTTCTAAAATAATACACCAACTTTTGTAATTATATTTATAATTGTAGGTCAGTGGTGAATTGTTATGTGATCATTTGAATTATTTATTAAATTGTGGCTTAACTGTTCAACCGCAAAGAATAGATTGGCTTATATTACGTGGGGAAATAGAGTTTTTCGAGAAAAATTACCGTCAGGCCTTGTCAACATATTTAGAATTCGGTAGTATTGTTACGGATTCGTTCTCAAAGAATGTTTTATCAACTTATTTTACAAAAGAGGTATGGTCATTTTATTATTGCTACTGCAATTCTGATGTTTTTTATTCATATGTATCAATATATATATATATATATATATATATATATATATATATATATATATATATATATATATATATATATAACCATCTCTGTTCTGGGCTTTCCTTTCCAGTTCTGCTCAGTTGATGCTGTCCTTAATTCTCAGCGTTGTGTCCTTTGGTCTACCTCTTTTCTTTTGTCCGTCAGGACTCCAAGTAAGGCTAGCCTCATGATGCATTTGGGAAATTCCCACAATGTTAGTCTTATCCACCTCCAGCGCTTTATCAGCTGGAATCTGGTTTATTCTCTCTCATAATAAGTTGTTACTAATGCTGTCTGGCCAACAGATCCGCAGTATGTTGCGTAGACAACTGTTAATAAACACCTGTATCTTGTGTATGCTGTCTTTTATAGTTTCCGCCCCATACAATAGAATTGTTTCGACGTTTGTATTGAAAATTGTGACTTTGGTGTTGGTTGACAGTTGATTTGAGTTCCAGATGTCCTTCAACTGTAAAAACACTCTCCTTACAATTCGTGTCTTTACATCTGCATCAGATCCAGATTGTTTATAAATGATTCTACATCTGGAGCTCCTCCATCAACTGTGGTTTTGTTGGTGCCTGCTGCATTGTATCGGAGGATCTTGCTCTTTTCCTTGTGTATGTTAAAACCGGTTGTTGTTACACTGGCTTTCCTCATCTGCACTTGTTGCTGTATGTGGTATAGAATAGCTAGATCATCTGTAAGTTCCAAATCGTGTAGGTGCATATGAACTATCCACTCAATTTCATGCTTCCCCTCAGGTGTTGTCGTCTTATAATCCTACCAACTACCAGAAGAAAGAGAAAGGGTGAGAGTAATTAACCTTGCTCGAGACAAGTTTTCACTTGAAATGCATCTGTGATCTGTTCTCTATGCACAATCTTGCCGTTTAATCCATCTTAAGAATTCCGTATAATGTTGACTCTCTTCTCTAGCACGCCATAGTGTCGAAGAAGCCTCCATATTGTCATCCTGTCCATGCAGTCAAATGCTTTCTCGTAGCCAATGAAATTGTTTTAGAGTGCTGAATTCCATTCAGTTGATTGCTCCACAATGATCCGTAGTTTGTTGATTTGGTTGGTGCATGATCGGTCCTTACGGAAACCAGCCATCCGACCTCGGAGTTGAACGTGTACGGAATCTTTCATTCTGTTTAACAACTCTCTGTCGAAGAATTTTCCTGTGAAATCTTTTAGACATATTAGATATTTGCTGATTTAGTACTGTCTATGTATTACTTCAACTGTTCAATCCATCCATATTCTATGGCTTCTATCTTTTTTCTCTTCTTGAAAAAAATATATTACGACGTTTCGTATTATAGTCAAAATAGTATTATCCTCATCACTCAATAGACTGACAGATTTCATGGCAAAACTATCGACAATTGAACAATATGAATTAACTAAAGTCCAATCTACATCTTCCTTTATTAGCTAAGTGATGAAATTCGAAATAATTAATCTTTTGAAGAAGCAAATTTACATACTGACTCACTGCTCGTATGTAGGACAACCCGTATGGTCATTTGTACTTGAAAATTTTCAGCGGTTAGTGTCTAACTCATCTGTATTGTTTGCTTGAATCTTTCGATTGATGTTTATAAATGTAATGGATTGATTTGTTTTTGGAGTGCCTTAACGTCGCCATTAAATCGTGAGCACTTAAAGCAGGGATTAATAGTGACTCGAATGGGAAACTGATCAGTTCTAAACATCAATGCAGACGTTCAAGTAACCAGTACATATGAATTTAAATCCATTGCAGCTAGTTGCTCTCTGAACTTAATAGCCTAATGAATAACTCGATGATGTTCGAAATGATTGGTACGAGGTTTCCCACGGTGAACATACGGGTATGTGCAGCTAAAGAACAACCTGCCTACTTACTTACGCCTGTTAACCCCAGTGGAACATAGGCCGCCGACCAGTTTCTGGTTACCGTTTTTTAGCGAGTTACTTTTCTGCGGGATGGGGTCGCCCAACCCTTCCCTTTTATCTGGGTCTGAGACCGGCAGTAATCGCAGAGGGGCTCCAGACGGAATTAGTTAAGGAATCCTTAATATTATGAAATGTGATTTTTCAATTCTACTATGGGCCATTATCTATTTCTGCTCAAAATCTTATTGTTTAATTTTTTTGTTACTTTGATAATGTTGCTATCTTTGAGTTTGATGGTTTAATTTTAAATTTTCGACTGTTAGTTTAGTGTGTTATGTCAGCGTTGATCCCCAGTACATGTGAGCTTATGAGTTATACCGCGAGCGTGATCATGAAAACGAGTTAATTTAACATTAGCTTCCATCTAAAGCACATGTTGTTTCTGTCATCAACAATGAAAATTCAAACTTCACATCTCATCCTACTGAAACTAAATAATTTGATTACAAATCTTTTTCATCATTTTCACTGTACCCAGTATGATTGTTTTACTTTTTTTTTGTTCTTACTTCCTTTCATTAAGCTGGTGTTTCGTATGATGTGTTGTCTTCAATATCTTGGATTATTTTATGAAAGTGTCGTCCTTGCACAATTCGATCCATCAACTGATGAATGTCTTGTGGACAATGTTGTTCAACTTATTAATAGTTTAGGTGAAAATTCTAATGGTTGGCCAATAACTCAAATTGATACTTTTAGTACTGCAGTTGTAAACCAACAACCATGTACTTTTGATAATAGTACTTCTTTGGATTGTTTACGTGGATCTTGTGGCGGTTCACTTCTTCATAGTACTTTGGATTGTCCTGATAGTTTAATACCTTATTTATGGAATATTCGTTTACTGTCAGCGCTGGAATGTTCAGCTTCAAATCGTGGTGCATTTTCACAGTCTACCAAATTTAAAGGTGAACGATGTTATTCTGTTTCCTTGTAATTAAAAGTTAGTATTTATGTAATAGATATTTGTCAAATTAAAAAAATATCTAGAAATTATGGATATGCAGTAGCAATGCTACTGATAGGAAACATCCACCCAGTGTTTCCAGGTTTCGAATGGTGGTCTAACAATTATTCACTCATGATTTCAATGTAAAAAATAATTCATCTGCGAGTAAATAACTCAGTATGGAAGCTAAGAACAATGCTAAGACCACTGTATAAAACGAGATTAGACATTTTGTTCTTATACACAACTTACGCCTGTTACCCCCAATGGAGCATAGGCCGCCAACCATAAATCTCCATCCTACTCTGTCCTGGACGTTACTTTCCAGTTCTATCCAATTGTTGTTTTTTCTCACATCTGTCTCCATTTCTCGGCGTAATGTGTTCCTTGGCATTCCTCTTTTCCTCTCCCGACCGTAGCTGCTACCTTGACGTGGTGGTCGGGTTTGCCTATCGTGATGACCCAACCGAGCTATACTGGCTGGAACATACGTTCCTCAAGGTTCTACCATGCCAGGCACGTCGATTGGAGAACGATGAGACTAAAAGCAGCTACCCAAGGTCTGAGGGCGAAGTCGTACTGCTGACTGCAGAGGGGTGTGACAGCAGTAAGGTGTTTCCCTCGGACAACCAGCATCTGCAGCGATGCTGCCTTCTCACAAGGAAGGAAGGGTTAGAAAAGTGTCACACCTCCCCTAACGACCAAAACATGGCAGAAATCCATGAAGTCATTGACGAGTGGACTTAGCCATGTCGGTAATTGTCGACTACCTGGTTGGGGTCCGCGAGATGATAATAATCGATGGTTAGAGACCTTGAATGACATGGCTCAGAATCATTCGCAATGGCGCCAGTGCATTTATTCTTTGTGTTCTCTCAAATCCTAATCTTCTGGATTCTTCAACACCTCCAGTTTTGACTTTCTAAACTTTTCTCATTAAATCATACTTCTTGAATAATATCTTCTAATCCTAACCTCTCCGATTACTTCTAATACCTTTACTACCTCTTCTACTATTGGATTTGAATTGAAAATTATATCTCTGTGCTGATGTGGTATGGCGACATGAACTGATGTACTTACGTACGAAGTTCTACGTTGCAACTGACTGACTGACTGACTTTTCCTCTGACCTTGGGGGTTCCAAGTGAAGGCTTGTCTTGCGACACATTTGGGTGCTTTCCTCAATGTGTGTCCTATCCACTTCCAGCACTTTTTCCTGATTTCTTCCTCTATTGAAATCTGGTTTGTCCTGTCACACAATAGGTTGTTGCTAATGTTATCTAGCCAACATAATCGAAGTATTTTGCGTGGACAACTGTTAATAAATACTTGTATCATCTTGATGATAGCTTTTGTAGTACTCCAAGTTTCTGCCTCATACAGCAGGACTGTCTTGACATTTCTACTGAAAGTTGTGACCTCGGTGTTGGTTGATAGTTGTTTGGAATCCCAGATGTTCTTCAATTGTAGAAATGCAGCTTTTCCTTTGCCGATCCGTGCCTTCACATCTACATCGGATCCACCTTTCTCGTCGATGATGCTGGCCAGGTATGTAAAGGTTTATACGTCCTCTAAGGCATCTCGATTAAGAGTGATTTGGTTGGTGCATGTTGTGTTGTATCGGAGAACCTTACTGCTGTTGCACTGGTCGTCTTCTCTTGTATTTGTTGTTGTGCGTGCGACAGAAGTGCCAGCTCATCTCTGAAGTTCGAATCGTCCAACTGCACACCGGTTGTCCACTACATCCCGTGTTTCCCTCCAAATGTTGACGACTTCATAATCCAGTCGATCACCAGGAGAAAGAGAAAGAGTGAGAGTAAGCAACCTTGTCTCACACCGGCCTTCACCTTGAACGAGTCTTTCAGCTGACCTCCGTGCACGATTTTGCAGCCTAATCCATCATAAGAATTCCATATGATGTTGACTATCTTCTCAGGGACGCCGTAGTGTCGAAGAAGCCCCCATAGTTTTTTCCTGTCCATGCTATCGAATGCTTTCTCGTAGTCAATGAAGTTGATGTATAGTGGTTAATTCCATTCAATTGATTGCTCTACAGTGATCCCTAATGTTGCAGTTTGGTTGGTACACGATTGATCCTTACGAAATCCAGCCTGTTGGTCTAAAAGTTGGGTGTCTACAAAGTCCTTCGTTCTGCTTAACAATACCCTGTTGAAGACTATGCCTGGCATTGAGAGAAGAGTGATGCCTCTGTAGTTCTCACACTTGCTGAGATCGCCTTTCTTCGGTATTTTGACGAGTTATCCTTCTTTCCTGTCTGTTGGTACTTGTTCCTCATCCCAAAAAGATCAAACTAAAATTGATGAGTTTCTAAAGAATGCGCTACACAAGTTCTTGATTTATATTTTCTTCAAACTATTTCTTGTAGTTCCTTTTCAAATGGTTTGGAATATTCTTAAGTTAGTTTTTCGACTGAGATTTGATCAGTTTGGTTGACATATGGGCATGTTCTGCGGATTGCGTTTACATAACCAAGCAGAATGCTGCTAAAAGATGCGTTTCAGGAGTTCTCACTTTGTGATGCCAATATAGCTTACTCCGTAAACCAACTACTGAATGCAGATGGATGTAACGCAAAACGACAGATGCAGATCTAACCAGTATTCTGTTCTACCGTTCAGTATCAACGCCTGTACGTAGGTAGCTGCTGGGTTGTGTATATTTTCATCAGGTGGCGAACTATCGGCAGTAATGGTTATTAAATAGTTTCAGATGACGTCTCACGTATATTTTATTAAAACCACACATCGGATCTTTTACATTTTCTTTCTGTAAATTACTTGGTGTTTTTATTTGTTATTTGGAAATACTGTTAGTCTTTTTGTTATCTATATACTGTGGTCGATTTCATTTAGTTTTGGATTAATATGGAACCGTCATTGTGTACTCCGTTACTAAAGTGTGCACTGACTTCACTCTTTTCTTTACAGCTCGAATCAACAATCCTGAACTCAATGCTAATAACCCAGATGAAATATTATTGGAAAATAGATGTGCCTTAAATCTTGGATATCTTCGTTACTTGTCTAATGTATATTTGATCTAATGAGATTAATTCTGTGTGTACATAACAGTTTTCTATATTTTTGTACAGTTCTTTATTAACATTTTGATATTTTAGTACGATTCTGTAAATATCCTGTTTCCAGTTATTAGATATTAGCACTTTAAATAATACTAGTGATGTATGTCCTCCATGAATTGATCGTTACGTATACTTACCAATGGTTTCTTGATACATGTCAATTGCGTGAACAGTTGAAATTTTCAAAAATGCATAACTATTCTTCCCATCAGTCTAAACAATAAAAGGTATATTTACATAGGCGTTGTTACATTCATATTTCTTAGAATCCCGTAGTAGCTCTTACATCTTCTCTGTGTCAGGTTAACTAAACACCAATAAATCAGAAGTTAGCAGCTTATTTACTAGTGAGTTACTGTTTGGAATTATAATACGCGTAAAAAACACGAAGATGGGACTATTTCCGGACAAGTTCCGCTGTTCAATATGCACTTACTGCGTCTGGTACAACCAAGTGATCAAAACAGACAACTCTCCAAGTAGTTCAAGATGATGCTATGTACATTCAGATTTTGAGATATTAGATGGATATATCAAATATAAAACTAGCGTTACCTTAATTAATGTGTATGCTCTATGATTAAACGGTATGACTGTTGGATTCAGCTGTATGGTGACTATTGGGGGGATTCTGTATGATATTCTACTTATTTTCCTAAGCTTCGGAACTTCATTTAAAATCGTGATAAACATTCATGATCATTAATACAACAACTGGCATGTCGGGATTCTTTTTGTTAGAACCTATTATTTCTTTACAAGGTGGTTGGCGTGTAGGTGAAACTTGTTTCATGAGCTAATATGAACCAATTGTTGTTTGCGTAAAGTTTTAGGTATTTGGTACTGTCAAATGGATGGTTGTCTAGCGACTTTACTGCACTAATTTTAGTCAGTTGGCAGTTGTGAATTAGTATGATCTGTGGTTTGAGTGGATTTATCTCGGATAAGTAAAGTTTCTGGATACAAGCAGCTAACACATTACCAGGCCAGATATCAGTTAGTTACAATTTGGAGAAGATTCTCGGAATAATATAATTAGTTAAATAAGTTATTTAATTAATAGTGAAGTTTATATCAGAATACAGAAGTTTAACCGAATGAAAGAAAACGGAGATAATCAGCGAGATAGAATAAGTTATTGATCTGAGTAAATGGTACTAACAAGCAAGCTTTTTGACATTCATCAGGTAGCAGGTTCAGACAGACAGATACAACGCAGAACTTCGTACATAAGTACATCAGTTCAGGTTGCCATACAACGTCAGCACAGAGACATAACTGTCAGTTCAAATGCAAGAGTGATAGCGATAGTAGAATTATTAGCAGCAATGGAGAAGATTAGGGATCAAAGATATGATTCGAGAAGTATAATTCAGTCAGATAAATGTAGAAGGAGAAAGATAGCGATTATGAGGTTAGTATTACAGAGAACACAAACGATGAATGCACCTGCGCCATTTCAAATTATTTTGAGCCATGTCGTTCAAGGTCTCTAACCGTCGATTACTATCATATCGCGGACCCCAACCAGATAGCCTACATCTGCCAACATGACTCAGTCCACTTGTCAGTGACTTCATGGATCTCTGCCGTGTTTTAGTCTGGCCGCCCCTAGCTTTCTTCCAACCTACTCCTACACCACAAAACATTGCTTGACGAGGCGTTCGGTGGTTAGGCATACGTATCACATGTCCCAACCACCTCAACTGATGAAGTTTCACCACTTCATCAATTGATCTGCCATTCTTACCTAGCACCCGTTTCCCAACTACAGCATTGCTTACTCGGTTGTCCCAGGAAATACGAGCAATGCTTCGAAGACACCTATGATCGAATACTAGTAACCTACGAGTGTCCTCTACTCTTAACGCACATGTTTCGCATCCGTATAGTAGGACAGAGCGAACTACTGCGCAGTACACTCATTCTTTGGTTAACAAGCGGATATCTTGCCTGCACCGTAAGTGATGCAGGTTGGCAAAAGCCAATCGATCCTTCCGTACCCGTGCTGAGATTTCGTCGGTCACCAGGCTATCAGCACTGATGAGACTCCCAAGATAAGTGAAGCGGTCTACACGTTCGACTACTTCACTCCCTATCACTAGTTCAGGTGCCGATGAAACCCAGTCTTGAGACAACATTTTGCATTTCGAGGGGGAAAACCGCATCCTGAACATGCTTGCATTGTTGCTTAGGGTAGTCAGAAGACTCTGCATTTTGTCAGCGTCTTCACCGAATAGGACAATGTCATCGGCATATTCTAAGTCAATAAGCGAGCCACCTGGTAAAAGGTCTACTCCTGAAAATTCAGACGAGGATAAGGTTATTTCTAGGAGCGTGTCTATGATTAAATTAATCAAGAATGGAGAAAGTGGACATTCCTGACGAACACCACTTGAAGTAGAGAATTCCGATGACAATTCGCCATAAGCTCTCACTCGGCCAGTGGTGTTTGAGTAGAGAGCTTGTATGAGGTTAATGTACTTATTTGGTACACCTTTCAATGACAGACACTGCCACAGAACCTCACGATCCACTGAGTCAAATGCCTCGTTTAGGTCCAGGAAGACGACTATTGTAGGACGTATAAATGTGTGTCTGTGTTCCAGGACCTGTCGTAGTGTGAAGATGTGGTCTATACCAAACCAGCCTGGTTTTCTTGAGTCTGTTCTTCACGAGCTTTCGTTAGGCGCCGAAGTATTATTGAGGCCAATATTTTAGATACTATATTAGTTAGACTTATTCCCCTGTGATTGTCACAAGAAGACTTCTGTCCTTTCTTATAGATTGGGACAATCAGTGATTGAGACCAGTCGGATGGGATTACGTCCAGTTCCCAGATTCTACCTAAGATCTCAGTCAACCTAGCTGCTAAAACTGGACCACCATCCTTAAATATCTCAGGGGTCAGTCTATCAGGACCTGTAGCTCGTCTCACTTCAGATTTCCTAACACTTTCGCAACTTACGTCAATTCGCTATTCAGGATGACTGGAGATTGTGGGTAACCAAAGAGTGGCTGAAGGCCAGTTGAAATGATCCCTAAAGTGTCCTGCCCATCAGTCCAGTCTCCTCGATTGAGAATGGATAATAAGTCTATCCTTTTCCGAGATAGTCTCACTCACATTTAGGTTCCCAATACCAGTTTCCTTGATGAGTCTAAAGAGTTGCCTACTGTTGTCTATCATCGCTGCCTTTTCCATCTCTCTCACTTTCGCCACCTACCACTGTTCGCGATCACGGAGCAGGCTTATTATCAGCCTGCGCTTAAGTTGACTTCGTTCTTCATCATGTTCACAGCCACATGGGATGAGTTTTCGAGCATCCATCAGTTCGGTGGATGCTACCGAGATTCACGGCTTCATTCTAGACTTATGGTTAACCTTACTAGCTGATATCACAGCTGTTTTTCACAGCCTTTTTGATATCATTCCATCCTGCCTCCGGGTGGGAATCGCTTAGATGGTCGCCTAACTGTTTTTCTAATTCCTCCTGAAATATTTGCTTAGCTTGATTATCATTAAGTAGAGCTCTAAGAGGTTATCTTGCGATGTCTTTCCTACGTCCAGCAAGCCTCAAACAAATACGCGCTTGCACTAGGGCATGATCTGAATCTAAACATGTGCCCCAGAACGAGCGACGGTCGTCTATCGAGCCACTCCATCGGTGGCTGATGGCGATATGATCTAGTTTAGTCCAACGTTGAAACGACTTCGGGGTTCGCCAGGTTGAGAGATGTTTTCCCTTATTCCTAAAGTTAGTGTTTGCTAAAAATAGGCGGCTGTCTGAGCATACTTGCAACAGACGGTCGCCATTGTCTGTTATTTGAGCCTCGAGACCATAACATCGACCTAAGTGTCTTTCATTTTCACTTAGTCTATCTACTTGAGCATTTAAGTCTCCAGCCATTATTACTATACCAGAGTGCCTAGATTTTGAAGGGGTGAGAAATCTTTCTGTAGAACTCATCTTTCACATCGTCTGAACTGCAGTCAGTGGGGGCGTAGGCAGATACGACAACGAGGCAAAGGCGATCGTCCCTATTCTTTTCGAATCTTTACTGTTCCGTTTAGTCGGACAGCGCACAGGCGACTATCTACTGGGATCCAGTCTAGGAGAGCTAGTTCTACCCTAGGATTCACTGCTATACATACACCAGCGAGAACCCTAAAAGCAGTATCAAGGCTACCGGATACACGAAGAGTAAGTCTGGATGCTTCTTTGTTTTGACAATGTGAAATCAAATCATTAACTTTACTGGGATCCAGTATGCGCGTTTCCGAGACGCAGAACATATCGACTGAGTGAGATTCTAAAGTCCTAGCTAATAATGCCTGTTGCCCTACTTGACACAATGCCCGTACGTTAAATGCTCCAACATATAGTCTAGAGCGAGGTTTCAAGAGACCAGGAATGACGTTTCGTAAACTCGCATCGTTTGCATTAGCGGTGCAGTCAGATAAGGGAATGTGAGTAGAGTTAGTTGTGGAGAAATGAGTAATATTACGGGCTGTAGGAAGGATGTGATTTCGACCAATTTAGTCTCTCGTGTTGTTACGGGTATGAGAGCGGTTATCACTTCCCGGCTGCCCACACCGTGGAAGGTTGTTTCTTGAGGGACCTGAAAAGGAAGATAGATTAGTGTTGGTCTGAACGACCTGGGAGCGTGACCGCAGAGCCCAAGGGACAACTGCTTGAGGCCGGTCACGCACGGCCCTTTAATGAGTTTTTTGAGTGTTAGCTCCGCTCCTAAAGGCCCTTCGTGCTCACCCTTACCAACGGAGACGGAAATCCGTGAGGTAGGGGAGGTGTGACATTTTTAGGGCCGACCTTTTCTAACCCTTCCTTCCTTGTGAGAAGGCAGAATCGCTGCAGATACTGGTTGTCCGAAGGAAACACCTTACTGCTGTCACACCCCTCTACAGTCAGCAGTACGACTTCGCCCTCAGACCTTGGGTAGCTGCTTTTAGTCTCATCGTTCTCCAATCGACGTGCCTGGCATGGTAGGACCTGCAGGAACATATGTTCCAGCCAGTATAGCTCGGTTGGGTCATCACGATAGGCAAGCTCGTCAGGGTAGCAGCTACGGTCGGGTGGTTGCAGGTTCAAGCGGAAGATGATAATCTAGATGTCAGTTCGTGCTCGTCAAGTCTCTGCTGAAACCTATCAGTTGAGGGGGGGCTGAGGTCATTT